GGTGGATCAGCCTTGAGGGGCTGAATGGCCTACTTCTGCTGTGTTCCTATATCCTGGTATAAAAAAAACTGTTATGCAAATGCTAACCTAACTTTAAAAATTCTTAATGGAGCTTTGGTGGTGATAAAGAATGCATTTTTCAGCATGATGCTTTCAACTAATATACTTAGCATCATTTCCTGTGCCTTTCAGCTTTTCTTCAGTTCAGGTGTACTGGTGTCTTTAAGCCTCTCTGGGCCACATCTGGAGAAAGCCATGATCGACAGGACCTTAGTGGGGAGGTTCATCTCTGACACCATCTATGATGGTAATTGTATCCACATGAAAATCAATGTCTAAAATAACAGTGACAGTTGAAAAATGATGTGACAACAGATTTACTAATTAGTTTCACTCGGGACTTGTAAAAGCAGCAAGTAACTGCATGTATTGTCATAGTTACAACCTTTCAGTTGTAAATTATAAATATACTTTTGTATAGAAAGCTTTCCAGACCTTATTTTCAACATGTATTATATCAATTTTGAAAAGTTTCACCTTGCTTCCACAAAGCTCCTCGCGGTTACATTAACAAAGGCAGATTGTGGAACATTAAAGGTCTTTAAATCCAGTTTTTGTATACTGTAAACACAAATTTACTACTTTTGCACTTAGTTCCTTGTATTACATACAATATTCAAAAAAGGCCATTTAAAATCAGATTAATAGGAACTGCTTTTGGAGAAACTTATTTAAAATGTCTAAGGCTATTTTGATTGTTTTCTAATAAACTATTTAAATGTGTTTCTACAATTGCACACTCAAAGCAGTGCTTAATTAAAACAAAGTATACCTTAAATAGGGAAAGGTTTGCAAGAAAAAAAAATAAGCTTTAGACGTGAAGAACAGATTTTTTCCCAATTATTTTAAATCTGTTTCTTTGAGTCACTGACCCTGCTCCTGTTGTTAAGTTTCTTTTTATTTGCCTTTCAAAACCCCTTACAATTTTGAATGGTTCTATTGAATTTCTCCTTAAATTACTCTGCCTTAAGGAGAGCAATCTCAGCTTCTCTAGTCTCTTCATGTCATTGAAGGCCCTCATCTTTCTCATTAGCATTTTTGTGTCTTGCATGTTTCAAAAGGTTTGCTTTTTAACCTCTGGTTTTGTCAAAGGATTTATGTGGTGTAACACTATGGCATCTGGCTCAAGTACAAGGCATTGTGCCATTTTTAATCAACAATTGATGAAATATAATGAACAGTGTTCTCCCAATGAAAGAGAGTATAATATCAACTCAAAAAATGTTTGTATTTCTCCTTTTGAGCAAATGTGTACTGTGTCACTTTGCAAATCTCAACGGCACAGATTTAGTTGTGGACAATATTTTTGTAGTCGCTGGTCTGGAGTAAAGTTGAGTAAGGTGCTTCTCTGATGTTTTTTTTTCTAGAGCTTGATTAATAATCGTGATGTTTACAGTTCAGTATACTAAACTGCAGTGGTGTTAATATGATGGTAGATATCAGATATTTATTTGCCAAGAAGTGGAGAAGACAAGCTTCTTCTGGCATTGCATTCATCACAAGTGGAGCTAAAATAAGTTGCCAATTCACTGGTCCCCATTTTTCACAACTGCCAAAAGAATAATTCTTGTCCCCAGTATTATTTTAAAATACTGCCAGGTAATATAAATTTCAAGAAGGGCAAAGGCTATATTACCAGGAAATTGACAGTCAGTTTCTAAGGTCAATAAAGTTATTAACACATATCGGGAATCAAATTTTAGAGGAGTCAGACTGTTAAAATGCACAGGTATAGAAAATTAATGGATCTTATTGTTTAAATCTTTTTTGCTTGTTTAGCTGTACTTGCAGACAATTTTATGATCGTAACTTTTCTGGAGTCCAGCAAACTTTGCTTTGTTCAATTAACAAAGAAACAGAATTCTCCAGATGTTGAGAGAAGAATTGAAAAGCTATCCTCTTCTGATCTTAAGGTATGCAGTTATTTTAGAGATTTTTGTCTATTTTGACCTCATTAATTTTATCCTCTATGCACTATCAGACTGAATGTGCACTGGTCAAAATCGCTGGGCAAGTGTCCTGCCGTGGCATTATACTCCTCAAAGCACTAAGAATTGTTTGTTGTTTCCTCATTTGAACCTAGCTTTATCACATTGCACAAGCAGAGACAATCTGCAATGTAGCTTTCATTTAACATCACTGGTGGGAAAACGTCTAGAAATGATAATTCAGGACAAAATTAATAGTCACTTGGACAAGTGCAAGTTAACTAAGAAAACTTAGTATGGTTCTGTTAAGGGCTCATCCTGTTCAACTAATGGTGGAGTTTTTAGGCAAGCCAATAGAAACATTTGATAAAGACACTGTTGCTGATGTTGTATAAGGCAATTGGCCTGAAAGTGTTAACTCAAACTTTGGAACAGCTCTGCCCACTGATATATGAATGACTGTCTTTGTCTTTGTCTTTGTCTTTGTCAGTGGGAAGTACTAGTCAATTCTAGTTTATTGTTAGTTATCAGTTATTTCTGAGTACAACAGCACTGGCAGCAGAGCAACATTTTCCTTAAGCCTCAATCAGCCCAAATCAGACAAAAAGTATTTAAAAAGTGTTTCAATGAAGAATTAAATGGAGTTTCAATAAAGCTAGGAAGGAACAGATCACTGTCAATATCCAGGAAAGAAACAGTCAATGTTATGTTCCTCATAAATCCTAGAAGGGAAGGTAGTAAAACAAAATTATGTGTCATTATTCTGGGCTGAAGCAGCAGAAAGGCAGAAACTGGTCAGATTCAGTGAAACCAAGCACTATTTTGATCCAAATGACTTTTATTTTTATTGCCAACATCATCTTCAAAAAGGATCATTATTTAAAATTTCTTTTTGGTGAAAAATAATGGAGAGATAGTATAAAATGACAGATACTATTCTAAAGGGTGTGCAGGAGTAGAAAGACCTGACTGCACAGAAGTCGTTAAAAGGTGGCAGGGCAGGTAGAAAGAGCTGTTAATAAAGTATATTCTAGGCTTCATAAATAATGTTGGCTAGGGAGAAATTATACCTACTCATAACTGGATCGAGGACCAGAGTGCACAATTTTAAAGTGTTTTACAGAATAAGCAAATGTGAGGTGAGTAAAAAATGTTTTCACACAGCAAATAGTTAGGAATGCACCATATGGAAATGTGGTTGAGGCAAGTTCAGTTGAGGCATTCATGGGGGCATTGATGATTTACTTGGAAATAATGTGCATAGTTACAGTGAATAGGAAAGAGATTGGCACTAAGTTAAAATGCTGAGAGAGCCAGTGCTGATATGGTGGGCTGAATGTCCTCCTGCACCGAATCTGTGATTCTGTAAAGGGATAATGGTAAACTTGATATACTATCATTGTATTGTGGGTAAACAAATGGGAGAAATTTCTTGGGGCAGATGGATAATGTTGGCTTGAAAGGGTCAACTCCAAAGCTTTGGAATTGCTCTGCCTACTGACACATAAATAACAGTCCATTTGAGGCACTAATTAGTTCTAGTTTATGGTTAGTTACTGCACAGTGTACTGCTATGTAGCATAGACCTAGATACTACCTCTCAGGAGAAAACCATGTCTCTTACTTAGTGTTAATGTAGTTAGAAAGTTCCAAGTAACCTGTTAACTTACTATTATGTAATAAATTACTTCTTGTTACTCAAGCATATGCCATTTCTGAGTTATTGGTGGCTAATCCTTCACCACTTCATACCAGTAAACCTCATGGACTAGTATTACAAGAAAGGTCATTGGAAAATAAGGATCTGAGCACAACTAGATGCCAACTGGAGGTATCTCTTAGACAGATGTGATGGACATGGATTTTCAGGTATTATTTGATAAATGCTGCACAATAAGCCTGTGTGTAAAGTAAGAGCTTATGGAATAAAAGGGTCAGCAACAACATGGATATGAGACTACCTGACATAATGGGAAATAGAGAGTAGTGGTAAAGGGATGTTTTTGGACTGGATGAAGCTTTATAGCAGAGTTTCTAGGGTCTTTGATCAGACCTTTGCTCTTCCTGATACATTAATGACTTAGACCTTTCAAAATTTGCAGATTACATGAAGCTTGGAAGCATTGTGAGCTCTGAGTTGGGTAATGTAGAACTTCAGAAGTGCATACAGAGGCTAATGGAAAATGCTAGGATAGCTGGACCCAATGCTAGGGGGATAAACACATGGGCAAGTGGGTTAGAAGGGAAAAAGCAGCAAAGGGTGTGGGGACGAAGAAGAAAGTAAAACTAGAGAGGAACTGCACCACCACCTCCTTGAGCAACTGCAGATGGTCAACAAATGGGCTGGCTAGTGATACCCACATCCCGGGAATGAATTAAAACAAACTGAAAAGGTGGTTGGCAAGGGGCTTAGAGGAGGAAGAGAAGAAAGCAGAAAGGAACTTGTGTGCTATGGAAGACAATATAAGATTTGAGTTTTGTGCTCCGTTAATGCCCAAGATTCCGATTCATACTACATCTATTGTGCTGGTCACTGCCTGCTAGCAATCACAAAAGGCCTTCAAAAGACTCAATTCTGCTTTGAAATTGTTCATAGTCCTTTTGAAGGCAAACACAACATTTGCTTCATGTGGCCACTTACTGTTAAGTAGCTGGAACTGTTTAGATGCTCTCTTCATCCTCTGTCAGCAGTCCTTAAAAGTCAAAATCTTATTGAAAGTATTAAAATTAGGCTAAGGGGAGAGGTTCCTGTGGGGACAATGCTTTTTACAAATCAGCTAGTAGCAAATCCTGCTGTGTCCAGCTATATGCCTGAAAATTTACACCAGTTTTAAAGACATATATTGGCTGACTTAAATCCTTTGACCTCTTTTTTTAGAAATTAACTTTCTACAAAAAATGCTATTAACAACCTCTATGCAGGACTTAATCTTCAGTAATGTGAAAAACAACAGAATAACTTCAAACTTTTAAAGACAATTTTTGTCACGGAACTATTTGTTATTGAATGATTTAGAATTTAAAAATAACTGCATAAAAGTGTTGAGAAAGCAGCTACTGATTTACCTATCGGTCTAAACCTCAATCTCCCTTATTGTTAAAGCAGTCAATGAGAAAGGAGATAAGAGTGAAAACAACTGTAGTAAAACAAACACATATAGCAAAGCAAGTGCTGATTGAAGACGTGATGAAAGTACGCAGCTTCAATAAATATTTGAGCAAAACTATTTAAAATATATCTGCTTTTCATTAGGAGCAGAACACTGGGATGTCACAAATAGCTGGCTGATGTAAGTTAATACAGAGAAGTGTGAAGTGATTATTGTTTTTTAGGAAGAAAATTAAGAGATAATATAAAACAAAGGGCACAATTGAAACTTGGAGAAGAGAAGATTGGGAGGAAAATTGATAGAGTCTTTCAAAATTTGTGGTATCTGAACAAGCCAGATGGGATAAATGTTTCACCAAACTGGTGGGAGATCAAGAATAAGAGGTCCATTTCAAGGTATTTGTCAGAAGAGGCAGTGTTGGCATGAGAAGATTTTTTCTTCTCACAGCAAGTGGTTTGGATCTGGAATAGATTGCCTGATTGGTGTAGGCTGGTCAATTTAGACATTCAAGAGGTCTTGGATTATTATCTGAAAAGGAAGAATGTACAGGGTTACAAGGGGAAGATTGAAGAATGACACTAGCTACTGCAAGCTGATATTAATTTGGGTGTCATAGGACCCAACTGTGTTCTTGCAGCTGACATTGTGGTGTGGGCAGTCCAATATCAGTGCAGTACAGGGTGTATGGTGAGGCATTTAAAGGTTGGTAGAGTGCCTCCAGGTGCCTGATCGCTGGATGCAGTCTCTGATTTGACGCAAAGTAGATGAGTTTAACAATCACACATACAACCAAGGAGACCTGTAGTTCCTTGCTCATGGATTCCATCAAGATAATCAAAGTATTAATGGACAATGGAAATTCCCCTGAATAATTCTAAGTACTTCACAAATGAAGATGATTGCATATTTGATGAACCCTGGATAACATTAATGCTTCATTTCATGGCTTGGATTAGAAGTTTTAGAAAAAAAAAGACTTTTTTTCTCCTTCTTTCAAAGACGTTGACATTTTCTTGCAGCTAGAATCCCAAGAGCGCCATTGTTCCCGGTACCTGTCAGAGTACCATTTCTTGGGGTGAGCCATTTTACTGGTTGTTTATAAGCTATGGCCACAGTGAGGGAAGTGTAATGGGATTACCTACTACCATATGGATTCAGTGTTTGGAAACTAGTCATTCTTTCTGGCTTAATCAAATGGTGTCCAGGCCACGAAGGCTGTGGTGGTTGTAAGCTACTGTACGGACTGTGGGAGTGGGAGGGTGGGCTGTTCTCCAGAACATGAAAACAAGGATGACTGGGGGCTGCTGCAAAGACTAGAGCAGTGGACAACCAGAAGGAGAGGGCAATGCCTATGCAAAACATTCAAAGATTTGAATGAGGAGACTCTTTCAAAAATATGAAATAAAGCCCAAGCTAGCAGAAAGTTTAGGTCCAGTAAAATCCAGGATGGTCAGTCATGCTGATTTTTTGGGATGCCTTCCCCGATTCAAAGGCAATTAGGCAGCTAAAAAGGTGTCATTGGGGCACCAGTCCTTTAAAGAAAAAGCTCCTACCTCTAAGACCTGCTAGCCAATCAGAGGATTGGTAGATCTTCAATCCCAGAGCACCACCAGGAGCAGTAGCTACCACAGTAGAATTACAGGCGGTTCCCCTCATTATTTGTAGTTCTTTTGTCACCTTTTTTTTTAAGAAATAAAACCCATTTATTTTAAATTGATTTTCTTAAACTAGCAGAAAGATAAATTGTGCATCTTTAAGTAATGCTGAGAAACATTTATATTAATACTGAGGAATCATAAGACTACAAAATGTAAGATCAGAAGAAGGCCATTCAGCCCATCCAGTCTGCTCCATCAGTCATTGAAATCTGTCTGA